ATCACACAAGCTTTAATCCAACTGGATTCAAGAAGTACACTAGTGCATAAAAGTAAGCACTTGCATAAGAGTGTGCAAAATTCATGCAATAGCTACTATGGGAGTAACCACAAACATCTTGTATATATAAGCGCTCCCATGGTAGAAAAACTACAGGGGAAATAAGTCTAGCATGCACCAGGCCTAAAATAGCTAACTATATATGACTAGCTCACAGGAACTACAGTATCATATTTCTGTTGTTCCGCAGAGCTACTGGTTTTCGATTCTTGTAAACAGTCTTGGTGATGATTTAATGCAGCATTTACTGGTATGACATAGCAACAAGTGAACAATTTTTCAAGAAATATTCCCAATGGGTTTTTTTTGTCAATTGTATAAGTGTGCATTTCAAATGCTTTTGTTTATTTTGGGAAAACCCCGAACAAATGAATACAGCTGAGCAAAGCCTCAGAGGGAACTTATGCATGTAAACAACAATCTTTTTCTCATGTGCCTAAAATGTTAGTTTAGTATCTTCAGAATGTAAGTCCAGTAATAGCGGATAACAGCTAAATATTTTGCCTGTTTCTCTGGAGCAGAGTTTCCAGGGGCCCCTTCATTTCCCAGGTTTTTTTTTGCTCAAATGCCATAAATAGGACAACTCTTCCTCTAGTAATGGAAAGATTAAAACAACAAATAGCTTTGTTTTAGGTGTTGGCCAGTCACTACTGACCCCTCTGAATGGGGTGAAAACCCTGCCCCTGGGAACAGAGATTCAGAGAATTTTCTTGCCCCTCTGTGGGAACAACAATATGTAATTAATGTATTGAATCCACCCCTAAAGAGTCCTTAATTTGTACCATATTCTGGCTTGTTTGCTTTTCTACGTAAAGTAATTTTAATACACTGTTTGCATTAAAAACACTGTTCAAAATGAAACTGTATTGTTAATATTTTTCTGCACACAAGAAGTCACCTGCCACAAGAAAGATACTTCATTTCTCATTTGGAAAGCCCAGTAGAGAAAGTAGATTACTGATGCTATGCAGAGAAAAGACCAGTAAGCATGAAAACAAAAGCAAAATGCAGTGCAAAACTTGTAATTACAATAGCATTATTACAGTGAATAACTATTGTATCACTGTCTAATGAGAGTAAATTCCAAGTGAGGTGGGGTTATCTCCTGAGGCATAAATACATTATACTGCACTTTAACGTATTTACATGAACGGTATGGTTTGCTAAGCTTTTTTTCCCCCACACTATTTCAAGAACTAGTGGGCTGTTTTGGTTTTGCTGGCAAGCAGCGAGTTTCTGCTATGGAGGGGAGTTGTTTAATATAGGAGAGGGCTGAATCTACACAGCTGAAGAACAGTTTTGCTTTTGTGAGCTGTGCAAGTCTTTAGGAAGTATCTCCAAAAGTTCACATCCTGCCATCTCCATGAGGAGAGAAGCCATGGAGCTAATTTTCCAGCAAGCTTAGTTCCAAGCTTCTAGGCCACATCCCAACCATTTTGAAACCAATAGGCTTTTAATGTTGACTTTGATGAGACCAGGATACGGCCCACAGAGTGCCCTTTGGGATGCAAGAAATCACTGGTTTAAGCGGTTTCACCAAGGCTTTGTCTACACTGCAGGGTTTTTGCGCAAGAAGCCTTTTGCGGAAGAGTTCTTGCGCAAAAACTTCTTGCGCAAAAGTGTGTCCAGACCTCAAAGCGCATTGCAAAAGCGATGTGCTTTTGCGCAAGAGGACGTCCACGCTGCATGGATGCTCTTGCGCAAGAAAGCTCTGATGGCCATTCACAGAATGGCTATCAGAGCACCTCTGCTTTTTCTGATAGGGGTTTCTTGTGCAAAAACCCTTCTGGAGCATCCACACCTGCCCTTCTGCGCGAGAGCTGTAGGGGGGGGAAAGGAATAACTTACCAGCAAAAGCACTCAGTTCTGTTGATTTTCTTGCACAAAAACATGCTTGAGGTGTGTACACTCTGGCTGTTTTTGCACCAAAACCTTGTAGTGTAGACATAAGCAACTATGCGGCTGCATCTAGACTGGTATGATTTTCCGTAAAAGCAGGTGCTTTTGTGGAAAAACTTGCCAGCTGTCTATACTGGTCACTTTGAATTTGCGCAAGAACACTGACGATTTAATGTAAGATTGTCAGTGTTCTTCTGCAAATACAATGACTCTCCCATTCGGGAAAAAGCCCTCTTGCGCAAATGCTTTTGTGCCAAAGGGCCAGTGTAGACAACTGAGAACTGTTTTGAGCAAAAAAGCCCCGATAGCGAAAATGGCCATTGGGGCTTTCTTGCACAAAACCGCGTCTAGATTGGCACGGACACTTTTCCTGCAAAAGGTGCTTTTGCGCAAAAGCGTCCGTGCCGATCTAGATGTTCTTTTCTACAAATGCTTTTAACGGAAAAACTTTTCCGTTAAAAGCATTTGTGGAAAATCATGCCACTCTAGACATAGCCTGCATGTTTACAAAAAAATTAATGTTTGTGTCTATATAAAATAGAGTTCAGGCCGTTCCAAACTCAAAGTTATCTACTGACCTACAGAGATTTAGTTGTTAGGTTTTATTTCAGGGAGAAAAAAAAATCCAAACTGTGTATTTAGGCTTCCCAATTAGCAGATTTTAGATGTCTCTTGTTTTCCCTCTCTGTGGAGGTTCAATGTCTCAAAGTGGAAATCTAAAATCTCTCTCCTATCTTGAGTCCAGAAACAGTTGTAGTTTCACACTGTTTTCAGCAGCCTTTCTTCATCTTCTTCTCACTCTTACCTTTGGTAGGGATGATGATTTTCTCTAAATACACTAACCTTTTGAGAGTTAACTGTTTGCTTTCAGTTATAGCAGTGTAAATCCAGAGTAACTCCACTAATAGGATTACTCTAGGTTAACATTACTATAGGAAAGAATAAACTTAAAAACAACAAATGGTCTGGTAGCACTTTATAGACTAACAAAATATAAAGTGCTACCAGACCATTTGTTGTTTAAGTTTATCCTGTACAGACTAATTCGGCTGTCCCCTGAAGCTATAGGAAAGAAGTTGATTGAGCTGGTATGCTAATATGCTGAACCAACACTCCTCCCCCACCCCCTTTTTTTTGGTCTAGTCACCATTTTATTTTCCTCTTCTTTGTTCCTAAGAAAGTTGCAGTAAAGTCAAAATGCTGCTGAGGCAGAAAAGCTGAATTTGCAGCTAGGATTTGAAGTCTACAATAGAAAACTGAAATCAGCATAAGTGGAAGTAAGAACAAAGAAAGCAAACCACACAATTCAACTGCAAATGTCAATAGGCAAAGGAAATCTGATAAGCCCTAGTTAGGAGGAGGAGAAGATTATCTATGCAAATACTCCATGAATTTAAAAATTGCAAGAATAATCTGAATTGGGGAGTGTAAAAATCACAGTAAATTAACTGATGAAAAATGTTGCCTCGATTTACATAAAAACATTTTCACTATTTCTAATTGAGTTACCAAGCCTAATATGGGGCACTAGCACATAATGATTGAGTATATCTTCACAGTGGTGATCTGGAATGAATTTATAAAACTCAAAGAATGCCTGTGTCAGAAGAAATCATGGGAACCGACAGTGTGATGTATTCAACGTATCCGCCTGAGACACCAATCTAGGCTGATAGTCTGAAAATCTGTACATACAGACTTCCTTTTGCATACCATTTTAAAACTTCACAGTGTTTGATTTCTAGCATTAAGGGCAGCTTTTAATGCACTGTACTTTGGAAATGGCTCCAAAAAAATCTTTGCTCTCTCGCCATTCTAAACCAGAATATTCCTGTCTTAACTGCTCCAAGATAACAACTTATGAGAAACAGTTGATGAAGCAGAAAGTATAAGACTCATCATATTGCACACATATCATATGCTCAGGGGATTACAGGAAAAAAAGCCAACTCATGCATGAGTGCATAGGCAAATACAGATTGGCTAAGCAGCTGTCTTGCTAACTTTCATTTGCTGACATTTTGAGAGCTGTTTTGCTTTCTCTTCTCTAAACTATGGCACAGACAGGATCTATTCCAGGTAGGTTAAGGTGCAAAAATGCAGATCAGCACACATTTATGTTTCTGACAGCCAAATACTAAGGAGAATTGTGGAATTTTTGCTATCTCTAGCATCTGAAAGTGAAGAGCTGTAGTTTCCAAGCAGAGGTGCTCTGAGGTGTTCTACCTCTGAAGGTTCAAAGGAGATCATGGAGACAGCATGAGTCACACAGACAGGGAAAACGCTGTGTAGTGCTGTGAGGGGGTTCATTTATGTGAAAGTAGAAAGAATGATACTGTGAGAGAAAGATAAATTATGCTGTAATAATTGAATAAGTTGAAGGAATACTGTTTGTCTCTGAACAGGAAGAAGAAAAGTATGTTAATGTTGTTTGTAGGTATGCAGATCAGAGTGCTAGCCAGAGTTAATAGGAAAAGGAACATTAGGTATTAGGGAGAAAGCAAGTGAGATAACCAAGGAGATATGGACAGAACCAAGGAGATATGGACAGGAGATTGCTGTGTGCTTGATGTGGAAATGAAGATACTTGACTAGCCTCACACTAATTATGTGAAGTTTTGCCCATCTTTTAATCCTGTTAATTTTGGCTTTCTTTTGACTGTATAAATCAAGGTGTTTGAACCATGTATGGCACTCACATTTTCTGGGTGCATTTAGCAGAGCGGCTTTGCTAATAAACAAAGCGGTCTGACAAATCTGAGAGTCCTGTCTGACTTTGACACTTACCACCGCAGCACCCCCTGCTGTCTGTCCTAGAAATTAGCTCCTTTGGCTGGCGGGGTACCTTCCCTCAGGTGGTGGGTCCCCTCTTTCCTCCAGGCCGTGGCATCCTCTTCAATACATTGCCCTCCGGCAGTGCCCAAGTCAGTCTCTGAGCCCCCCTTCCAGGGGTTTTTGTTTCTTCAGCAGGCCGTTATTTAAGCCCTGCAGGCTGGGGGTTTGCTTGGCCAGAGCTCACCTCGCCTTAGCTCCAGGGAGCCTCCTACTCCCCCAACAGCCAGGCTCTCACTGCTCTCCTCTTGGGAGCCACCGCCCATGCTCTTATATAGCTCCCAGCTGGGCCCTAATCAACTAATGCAGCCTCAGCTGGGGCTAAACTCCCAGGCCCTGCTCCAGGCTGGGATTTGCCGTTAAAGGGCCAGTGCCGGGCAAACGCCCCGTCACAAGTGCTTTTTACACCTAATGGTGAAATGCATAGTGTAGGCTTCTCCATGGGGCCAGATTCCCCATTATTGAACCTACACAAGATAGGGCAAAATTGACTCTTCAGCATAAGATAATAACGTCAGGCAGAACGTCCGCAATCTGATCATTTCAATAAAGAGGGAACATCAATGCACAGGTATTATGTTTTTCCAAATGCAGAAAGCAAACGTGCTTCCAGCTTTAATGACATTTATTTTATGAATACGGAAAACAAAACAAAATAAAATCTCCATGTAAGAGCACAATGGACCAGATTCTCTGCACTGCTCAGGCAGCACAAAAATAATGGAGACAGCCCGTAACTTCTAGTTTAGTATGACCATCACTTGGGGGAGAGGGAGGGGGAAGTCCCTGTGAGTTTGAGACCAGCTCCCATGCCTCTCTAGCACAGTAAATGTGTCAAAGCAGAGAGGAAATGGCTGATGCATGATATACTTTGGCTGTCTTCCACTCGTGGATGGTTCCTTAGGGACCCATTGTTAGCTGATGCGAGTTAGAGAAGTCCCCTGTCTTCTCCTTTCTGCATATGAGGCCTGGCAGAGAATCAGTGAACCATAACTAGAACCACACAGGTCTGAACTCTATCTACAGACCATTTTTACAGATTGTGTGTGTATGCAGATCCAAATTTTATATCTAGAGCCTTTCAAATCTGTGGATATGTTCTTTATATCTGTGTATCTTGGATGAGACGTGGATGCAAACTTTGTATCTGTAACTATAACTGATTCTCTGACATCCCAACTGATTTGCTAAATTCAGCAGAAAATCTGGGCCATTGTGATCTAGGTCAGTGTGTCTCTCCTCTGCAATGGGCTACATCTGAACTGAACACAAAAAGGCAGATGCTTCCAGCAAACAACAGGCATCTGGATATTTAAAAGTTCGATACATGGAAAGCAAAGTCATGATTCTTAAATTTGTTCTTTCCCCATCAACCCGTGGTTATTTATAAAAACAATACTACTGCTAAATCTGGAAGTCAGTTCCTGCCACATATTAGGAACCTAATTCTCTAGTGCTCTGTACCTTGTCTAGCCATTTACACCAGGGCAAAATGAGTGCAAAGTGGGTATATATGCTATCATTCTGATTAAGTAGTGTGGTACACCTACTATGCCCTGGTGTAAATAACTGCACAAGATTCAGAACAATAGAAAACTAGATTCTAAATATACAAATCCATGCCTAGTGGAGGAAGAGAAAAACATTAACTTTGCTGCTGTGATCATTTTCATATAGCAGGACCTAAACATTTTGGGGAACTCCAAACAAGAGATGTTTTGCAGGGAGAGGAGATACAACAGACGTTTGTTTGATTGGCTTGTTTGTATCTCTGTTTCGTTATCCCTACAAGGTACTTCTAAGCAATGGCTCCTTTCCCAAAAGACAAAAGCTCACAAAAGCCACTGCTCTGGGGACAAATTATACCAGGTTTTGGCTCACAATGTGGACACAAACCTTTTTTCCAAAATGGTACTTCAGGAAGTAATATAAAAACATAGTGGTCTCCTGTACTCAGTTATTCATAGGTGACAGGCATGCCTTTGATGGGATGTAAGGACTCTGTCCCGTGGTTGGCATGAAGAGGATTAACTTTTGGTTCCTGGGGAAGATTAAAACTGCACCCTAGCTAGTAGTAAACACATTGAGCACAGAAACATATACCTCATTCAATTCACTATTTTGCTTTGTAATTCCCCATTAAATGAACTAGTGTAGAACAAAACATTTAGCCAATGTGTTGATACATCATCATAATCTACATTTTTAGTTGTCCCCCCCACCTGTGAAATAGTTTTAATATTAGCTTCAACAAAGAAGAAATAACTATAAAGAAATCAGCACAACAACCTGTGCAATGAACTGTTGATTATACGACTTAATGTTAATCCAGGGGTCATTTCTGGGTCTGTTGCTTGATGTGTTTTTCAAACTGTTGATAGTATTGTACAATGAAACTTCTTCCATCTATCTCCTTGCTGTTGGTGCTCTAGGTAATTTCCAGTTATGTGTTGTAAAGTTTGGCCTGTGAAAGAGACATATGTAGAAATTTCTGCATACAAAAGATGATTGTTCAGGCATCTGACAGCACTTACAGCCTCTAGTCAGAGTCCCATGACATGTGACCAAAGCTTTGTATCCCGACTCTACTCCAGAAATTAAATCAGTTAAGGGGATTCTTGAACACCAAATATTTGGTGCACACAGCGCTCTCAGCTGAACAATACGCCCAAACATACAATGTATAGAATATACTCCAATAATCCTTTTATGGTTGTTAACCTCATCCAATAATAGTATGGGTCTCTGTAATTCTAAGATAACATGGTAAAAGGCACAGGGAGCCTTAGTTTAGATGGTAGTACAAACAAAACAAAAAATGTGCATTGTTTGTTCCAGACATAAAGTGCTGTGATTTCCCTATCCAGTCTTCAAAAAGGAATCTGAAAAGTGCAAACAGTAAGCATGGCAGATGAAGGGTCTTCATGGGCACACGTCCATGCAGTCTTTTGAATCTGTGACATTCGTCATGATTAAGTCCTGGGTTTGAGGATTCATGTCTCCTTTAAAAAAAACAGAACAATACAGTTTAAAAGGAAAATTTAATGTAAAAAACATTTCTATTTGAAAACAATAAAAACAAAATATTGAGAGTCTAATTCTGATTTACATTCAGCATCCTTTACACCATATTCGCAGTGCAAAAGTGCCTAAAAGAGGGAATAAATTATAGTAATTAGAGTATAAAATTATAGAGGGCATAAATTAAGATTGCTTTATACTGACAGAGTGACATAAAGAGGCCACAGTATAAATGAGAGGCAGGCCTTGCATATTACTATTAATAATTGTGAGTCAGATTATGAACAGCTTATTGAACTGGTGAGCATTGATTTTCATAAGCAGTCCTTGGACTGTATACTTTAAAGTTATTTATTGCAGTCCTAGGGGAATTCTGTAACTTTACTATGCCTCCAAATGCAACAATTGCAGAATTCCCCCAGGACTATCATTGCCAAAGATGTGTGTGTTTCCACATGCCCATCAGTGATGAGAAGAAGTGTGCTGACAAGACTAACACGATTAGTCAAATACTTATCATGGCCATTGTCAGAGTAATTGTACGGGCAGAATCCCTTAGTCTTCCTATGGCTTGCATAAAGACAGTCACTAATGTCTATGCAGTGCCATTCATACTTTTGTGCCGGGGAAGATAATAGAGCAAGTAATTAAGGAATTCATCTGCAAACAGCGGGAAGATAATAAGGTAATAGGCAACAACCAGCATGGATTTGTAAAGAACAAATCATGTCAGACCAATATGATAGCTTTCTTTGACAGGATAACAAGTCTTGTGGATAAGGGAGAAATGGTGGACGTGGTATACCTACACTTTAGTAAAGCATTTGATATAGTCTCACGTGACCTTATCAATAAACTAGGGAAATACAACCTAGATGTGGCTACTGTAAGGTGGGTGCATAACTGGATGGATAACTGTTTTTAGGGATTAGTTATTAGTGGTTTGCAGAAATGCTGGAAGGGCATAACAAGTGGGGTTGCTCTGGGGTCTGTTTTGCGACTGGTTCTGTTCAATATCTTCATCAATGATTTAGATGATGGCATAGGGAGTGTGCTTATTAAGTTTGCGGATGATACCAAGCTGGGAGGGGTTACAACTGCTTTGGAGGATAGGGTCATAATTCAAAATGATCTGGACAAACTGGTGAAATGGTCTGAGGTAAATAGGAATAAGTTTAATAAGCACAAATGCAAAGTATTCTACTTAGGAAGGAACAATCAGTTTTACACATACAGAATGGGAAGCGACTCTTTAGGAAGAAGTACTGCAGAAAGGTATCTAGGGTTCATAGTGAACCACAACCTAAATATAGGTCAAGAGTGTGACACTGTTGCAAAAAATAAATGCAAACATGATTCTGGGATGCATTAACAAGAGTGTTGTGAGCAAGACATGAGAAGTCATTCTTCTGCTCTATTCTGCACTGATTAGGCCTCATTTGGAGTATTGTGTCCAGTTCTGGGCACCGCATTTCAAGGAAGATGTAGAGAAATTGGAGACGGTCCAGAGAAGAGCAACAAAAATGGTTAAAGATCTAGAAAACAAATTCTATGAGGGAAGGCAGAAAGAATTGGGCTCCTTTAGTTGAGAAAAGAGAAGACTGAGAGCAAACATGATAGCTGTTTTCAAGTACAGGCAGTCCCCGGGTTATGTACAAGATAGGGACCGTAGGTTTGTTCTTAAGTTGAATTTGTATGTAAGTCGGAACTGGCGTCCAGATTCAGCCGCTGCTGAAACTGACCAGCGGCTGACTACA